GCGCGGCCAACAAGACCTGGGATAATCCCAGGGGATGCTGTTCGGTGATCCGCTCGGATCGCTGGTCACAGCTGCTCTCATGCGCCCAGGAGGCAGCGGGAGAGACGGGCCAGCGCTGGTACTGCCACTGCGGTTCGCGCTACTCGACATCCTACGGAGTCTGCATCGAGTTCATAGAGGAGGAGGCGAACCCGCCACACGCGCACTACATGCACGCGGAGCATCCCGAGGAGGACATCCGCGATCTGAAGGCCCTGCTGCGCTACGACAAGCTCAAGAAGGAGGGGATCACAGTGCTCAGCGCGGTGGACCTTCTGAGGCACCTGCCCAAGGTTGAGCCGCTGGCGGTTGGCGCCGTCTTCAAGCGCTATGCCCCACACCAGGCACAGTGGGAGGCCACTATGTGCTGATGGAGGGGCTCACCTGGGAGAGCTTGCCCACGTTCGAGTGGGCCGACCTCTACGCGCAGGTCGCCTGGGGACTGAACGACCCTGAATGGGCGGGCTACAGCAAGAAGGCGCGGAACAAAGCCTAGAGGGAGCGCCTGGAGATGGCGCGCAGGGAATTGGCGCACTACGAGCGCCGCCACAACCTGAAGGAGGGCCTCTCGGGCGGCGGGGGTGGTACAGGGGTCGCCCCGCGTGCCACCGCCGTTCGCAGCGCCGGCGCCCCGCCAGCGAGCGGAGCCCGCGGCAGCCAGGGCCCGCCACCACCGCCAGCGGGAGTCCCGCCATAGGCCGTGGCCATCATGGGCCCCCCGCCGCCGCCGCCGACGGCGCCCCCTGATGTGCCGCCGCCGCCGACGCACCCGCCACCGCAGACGGACGTGCTCCCGCAGCAGGCCCCAAGCGCTGCAGCCCTGAACGTGGCCCTTGGTGAAGACCTCGAGCGCCAGATCTTTGGGCCCTCAGGGCAGGCGGGGGGCAGTGGCGACCTCGGCGGGGAGGTGCGGGCGCTGCCGTCGCAGGTCTTTGCTGCCATCGCGCAGGGAACAGGCCAGCAGGCCTGAGGGATAATGCCCAGCAGGTTCCAGGGCCTTGGCAGGCCGCGTGAGTCCATGCCAAATTGTCTACTTGCCACTCTCTGTAGTGCGGCGGGCCCACAGCGGCGCCCCCCCCTCGCGTGGCGGCACCTGTAGCCTTTGCCTAGGCTAGGCGCAAGACTACCTGTGCGCCCAGCCACCTTGGCTCGCCAACTGGCTTGCCATCTCGGCCCCCTCACGCTCACTTGCGCTCGTTGGCCTCGCTGGCGGTGCTGGGGCAGCCCCGTGAACTGCAGCGTCGCCGTCAGGCGCCTGGCCACTTTGGCCTGCCATCCTGGCCTCGTCTTGCGCCTTCTTGCGCTTGTAGGCCTGGGTGGCGGTACTGGGGTCGCCCCGTGTGCTGCTATGCTGCCGCCTGCGCCTTACTTTTTGCTGTAGGGACCAGCTGCCCTCGGCCAGGCGCCAGCTGCTGCATGCACGTCAGACCCGCCCTTGGCTTGCCAACCAGGCCTTGCTTCGCGTCTTCTCGCGCTAGTCGGCCTGGGTGGCGGTACTGGGGTCGCCCCGTGTGCTGCTGTGCCGTTGCTGGCGCTTCACTCTGGGCTGCTAGTCCAACTGCCCACGGTGCGAGCGCCTGACGTTGCAAGCATGTCAGACCCGCCCTTTCACCCAGAAGAGGTGCGCGCTACATACTGGCAATGAGGCAGCCACACGGACGCTCTTCCCTAGGTGGTTGAGCCGTGGTGATGTGGTGCACGAGACCGCCAGTAGTAGTAGTAGTAGTAGTAGTAGTAGTAGTAGTAGTAATCGTCGTAGAAGTAGTCGTAGTAGTAGTCGTAGTAGTAGTAGTAGTAGTAGTAGTAGTAGTAGTCGTAGTAGTAGTAGTAGTAGTAGTAGTAGTAGTAGTAGTAGTAGTAGTAGTAGTAGTAGTATTAGTAGTACTAGTAGTAGTCGTAGTAATAATAGTAGTAGTAGTAGTAGTAGTAGTAGTCGTAGTAGCAGTAGCATTAGTAGTAGTAGTAGTAGTAGTAGTAGTAGTAGTAGTAGTAGTCGTAGTAGTAGTAGTAGTAGTAATAGTAGTAGTAGTAGTAGTAGTAGTAGTAGTCGTAGTAGTAGTAGTAGTAGTAGTAAGTAGTAGTAGTAGTAGTAGTAGTAGTAGTAGTAGTAGTAGTAGTAGTAGTAGTAGTAGTAGTAGTGTAGTAGTGTAGTAGTAGTAGTAGTAGTAGTAGTAGTAGTAGTCGTAGTATAGTAGTAGTAGTAGTAGTAGTAGTAGTAGTAGTAGTAGTAGTAGTCGTAGTAGTAGTAGTAGTTAGTAGTAGTAGTAGTAGTAGTAGTAGTAGTAGTAGTAGTAGTAGTAGGTAGTAGTAAGTAGTTAGTAGTAGTAGTAGTGTAGTAGTAGTAGTAGTAGTAGTAGTAGTAGTAGTAGTAGTAGTAGTAGTAGTAGTAGTAGTAGTAGTAGTAGTCGTCAGCAGTAGTAGTAGTAGTAGTAGTAGTAGTAGTAGTAGTAGTCAGTACTCGTAGTAGTAGTAGTAGGTAGTAGTAGTAGTAGTAGTAGTAGTAGTAGTAGTAGTAGTAGTAGTAGTAGTAGTAGTAGTAGTAGTAGTAGTAGTAGTAGTAGTAGTAGTAGTAGAAGTAGTAGTAGTAGTAGCAGGAGCAGTAGCAGTTATATTAGTTGTTTTCGTATTAGTAGCAGCAGCAGTAGCAGCAGCAGCAGAAGGATTCTGACGCATTCCACACGTGCATGGCTGCTGTCGCTGCTTTCCACCGCTCGCCTTCTTTCACACCGTGCATGATGAGGAGGAGGCGGAGGGGAAATCACAATGCTGACATGCAAAGGGCGAAGTACGTTCACCACGAGGTCTCATGAATTCAATTGGCATCTGCTCACCACCTGCTCAAGCCTACACTCCTGCCGACAATGCGTTCCCGGTTGACGCGCGCAGGAAACGCTGCCGCAACTTCATGAACTCCCCTGCGCAATTATGGCGCCTCGATGGGCTTGTTCGTCAAGTTGTCGAGGTCGACCCCACGTTGCCTCCCCGGCCTCCATTCTGCGCCAATGCGGGGCCTCATATCAGCATTCCTCTATGCTAGTAGGGGAAAGAGACAGAGAGACAGGGAAGAACCATAACCCACCAGACGGCCCCTGGATACCCAAAATGACTACCGGAAGCCCTCGAAGAGCCACACAGATATTTCTGAGAGGCCCCCCCCATCAGAAGAAGCGTGACAGGAAAACCGTCCCATTCGCAGAACATTGGAGCTACTCGTATGTGCGGTCATGCGTTCCGCTGCGGTTGCTTGTAGTAACTGCTGAGGTACAGGGTAGAAGCGCTCGGTGCGCTGCTGCTTTCTGCTACCTACTGCTCCTTGCTGCTGATGTATGCTGCCTGCTGCTGCTACTGGCTCTGCTGCGGCCACCGCTGGCGAAGGGTCTCAGGATATTTTTCACGCGTGCAAGGAGCAAACGACCGCCTGTGTGGCAAGCAGCATGCCTCGGCACGATCAGCCACGTGAGACGACGTCGCATTGGTCGCAGAAATCCGCCGACCCTGTGTCGGCGTTTGTGAGGGGCTTGTCCGTTCCCGTCGTTCGTTCGTCGTCTCCGCCGTCTCCTGCCCCTGCGCCCACCCTTTCTCTGGGCCGGTCGTCTCCTGTCCCTGCGCTCCCCCCTTCCCTGGGCCCGTCTCCCCTCCTCCCCTTTCCCCCTCTTCCCTCGGGCCGTCGCCGCTCCCCCCCCGCCTTTCCAGGGCCTCCCCCTCAAGAGCAACGCTGTCATTGAGTCGAAGGGAAGCCCCTTCCCTTTGATCCCTTCCTTGGCGGGGGGGGGGGCAAGGGGGGTCTCGGGGGGGGTCCGGAAGGGGGTCCCGGGGGGGTCCCGGGGGGGGGGGTCCCGCGTCAGATGCGACTCCCCCCCTGGGGGTCCCAGGGCCCGCACAAAGCCTCAGACGGGCCAAGAGCCGAGGCATTCTACCACGCCCTCTCCCCCCTCCCCCTTCCTCCCTCCATCCTCATCTCTCCTCTTTCCTCCGTCCCCCTCCAGAACCGAACCGGCCTCCTGGGCGCTCGGCCACGGGACAACCCAGGACCCAAAATTCCGAGGTCCCCAGGGCCCTCCAGGACCCAGCCCCGAGGACCTCCTCCCAGGACCCAGCACCAGGAACCAGCCCCCCAACAAGTCCAGGACTCCCAGGCCTCAGGCCCTGCTCGCCTCGTCCTGCTCCTATTCATTTCCCCCCTCTCCTCCTCCTCCTCCTCCTCCTCCTCCTCCGCAACCTCCTCCTCCTCCTCTTCCTCCTCCTCCTCCTCCTGTTCGCCTCCTCCTCCTCCTCATTCTCCTCCTCCTCCTCCTCCTCCTTCTCCTCCTCCCTCCTGCTCCCTGACGTCCTCCGCCTCCTGCTCCTCAGCGTCCTTGTCCTGCTCGTCGTCTCCGTTTGCAGGGTCGGCGGCACCGGCCGTAAGGCCTTCGCAATACTTGCCAATGAAACCGAACGCGTTAAATGGTATCGCGTTAGTGAAGTGTCATGCTGCAAGCGCCTAAACGTTAGAGCGAGCCTACTAGTGGACTAGAGCGAGAGAGGGAAGAAGACGGGTGGAGGAGGACAACGATAGATGAGGCACGCGAGCCAAATCTACTGATCGTAGCAGACGTTACTCAGCTTGAGGACAGTGGGCTGCGGGAAGGGGGCCCGAGACTTACCGATGAAGGATTTGATCCTCCATGCCAGCGGTGTGCCAATAACGGTCAACGTTCGCCTGAAACCCCTGAATCGCACACCACGTTATCGCACAGAGTTTCCTGCACCGGATAAGCCACTCTGTGAAACCGTTGAAAACGTCGATGAAGCTGTTGCTAGCTCATTGCTCGCAAAGTTCACGAAAGCGTGTAATGAGAAAGGACAGGGGCTGCCTGCCCGCGGAAAAGTCAGACGAGTAAGGCGGTTGAAGCCCGGTGCAGCCAAACGATGCTTAAGATTGTCGTGCAGACGGAATGAGACGCCGTAAAGAATTTCACCCTTCAGCAGATGAGCTGCCTCAGGAACATGAAGTACAAGAGAGCAGAACTGCTCGCAGTATTAGCCACCCACCTGGAATACTTGAGCACGGATGATGGGCTAGCGAGCTGGAGGGCCAGGCGGACCCTTCCCATGCCGCCCAGATCTGCTGTCAGGAGCGGCAGCGCATGGCGCCGCGCGGCCGTTCCCTGCCGAGACTGCGCGGGCGCCACAGCGGTGTCGTCGACCTCTGACCTTCCGAAGGTATGGACGGACTGGCCTAAGGTTCCAGATTGCACCGAGGCTCGCAAAGTGCCTGTTGGAGCCGACGACTGATCGGCAAGTGATTCTGGCCGAATGAGTGGACCTTCTGCGGGTGCGCCAGGTGGAGTGTCGCCGGCAGAAGGACCTGGCGGTGCCTGGGCGGACCGCTCCGCAGAGTCACCCCACGGCTCCGCGCCGCAGCCGGCCGCGCCACCAGTGGTTGGTTCAGCAGCGCGAGGCATACTGTCAACCGAGCCGGCAAGAACGTCCGCGGTCATGGAGGCTGCCTGCTTGGTCTCGCGGCGTCTTGCCTTCTTCCGAGCACGTTGAGCGCCGCCCGCGGCGTGTCCACCAGGACGGCAGGGTCCTCGGCGGGAGCTGGAACGGGTGCGCCCTGCGCACCGGCGGGCGCCTCGGAACGCGGTCGAGGCGCGGTCTGCCATCGGCCGGGCGAAAACGCCCGTGACAGCAGCGGCAACCGCCTGGGTGGTTCGACGAGGCGCCTTCGCCTGGCAGGCTGCGCGGACGGCGGCTGCGAGCAGCGCAGCGCCATCCACGGACATGGCTCCTATGCTGTACCTGGGGGGATAAAGCACCTGCCGCAATCGCTTGAGCCGAAACTTAGTTCGCGAAAGCTTGTAATGAGAAAGGACAGGGGCTGCCTGCTCGCGGAAAAGTCAGACAAGCAAGGCGGTGGAAGCCCGGTGCGGCCAAACGCTGCTTAAGATTGGCGTGCAGGCGAAATGAGACGTCGTAGAGACTTTCACCCCTCAGAAGATGAACTGCCTCAGGAACGCGAAGTACAAGAGAGCAGAACTGCTCGCAGTATTAGCCACCCACCTGGAATACTTGAGCACGGATGATGTGCTAGCGAGCTGGAGGGCCAGGCGGGCCCTTCCCACGCCGCCCAGATTTGCTGCCAGGAGCGGCAGCGTATGGCGCCGCGCGGCCGTTCCCTGCCGAGGCTGCGCGGGCGCCACAGCGGTGTCGTCGACCTCTGACCTCCCGAGGGTATGGGCGGAATGGCCTAAGGCCTAAGGTTCCAGATTGCACCGAGGCTCGCAAGTGCCAGTTGGAGCCGACGACTGATCGGCAAGTGATTTTGGCCGAATCAGTGGACCTTCTGCGGGTGCGCCAAGTGGAGCATCGCCGGCAGAAGGACTTGGTGGTGCCTGGGCGGGCCGCTCTGCAGAGTCACCCCACGGCTCCGCGCCGTGGCCGGCCACGCCACCAGCGGTTGGTTCAGCAGCGCGAGGCATGCTGTCAACCGAGCCGGCAAGAATGTCCGTGGTCATGGAGGCTGCCTGCTTGGCCTCGCGGCGTCTTACCTTCTCCCGAGCACGTTGAGCGCGGCGAGCGGCCCGCGGCGTGTCCACCAGGACGGCGGGGTCCTCGGCGGGAGCTGGAACGGGTGCGCCCTGCGCACCGGCGGGCGCCTTGCTCTGTTGGGTCCTGAAATCTCTTGGCAGGCAGACATAAACGCATGCTCCTTCGAACCCTTCCCCGGTCATCGCATCGATCAACTCATCGCGTGTGATATCATAAGGCTCATTTTTCACAATCAACGTCGCATGATGCTTGTTATCAGTCGCCGAACGTTGGATGTCAGGACAAGGCTCCTGCCCTGGCGAGGCAAGGGCGCGGCAGAACGCGCCCGTCGTCTGTGGGCAGCCGGGGGCGAACACCGCAACATTGCAAGCCAAAGGCGTAAAGCTTCCGGCCTTGTCGCTCAGAGGCGTTCGTTCGCTGGGAGAGGCCGATGCCTGACCGCTGCGATTGCCAGCTGGCGGACTCTCGCCAAACTTGCCTTGGAGATCGGCAGGGGCAAGCGGAATGTGAGACGACTGCCGACGCAAGTAGTGGTCGGTCGACTGCGTGCGTTCGAAAGCCATTCACAATCTTGTCGAAGAGGGAAGCGCTCGGTCTGCCCAGACGTCTTGAGGCATGATGGCAACGGAAGGGTCTCAAGAGACTTGTGGCAGACTCTGGTGATATCGTGGGTCGGCTTCGGTGTCTTGGCGGCCTCTAAGACTGTCCTTGTAGCCTTGGAGGTCCCTCTCGGGGCCCGGGGTCTCTTGGATTCCTATTGGGTAATGTGTGAGCTCTCCTGTCCTTCTTGGTGGCCTACCGGGGCTTTTTTTGGTTCGGCCAGCCCCTAGAGAACGCGGCCACTAGGCCAGGATTGGCCTGTCATCATTGAGGATGGCCCTGTAAACAACATCTAAAACGATGAGGGCAATCCAGAAAAGGAAAGAAACAAACCGCTACCCCCCTCCCCCATGTGCTTCCAGCGACGTCCTTCACTGGGGCCCCAGGAATATCCAGCAAGCCGGTGCCCCAAAGATGGGGTCGAGAGGTCTGGGTGGCCCGCGCCGTGAGCACGCCTTGCCGGATGTCCGGCAGAGTACAGCCCATCCGTGTAAGTGAGCAGACGGCGACAACGGTGGTCTTGAAACTGATAGGTAGCCCACAATTACACCAGAGAGAAACCCCAATCAGTGGATGGTCATGAAGCACCAGAGAAAACCACTCTCACCAATCTGACAATTTTTCTCAATATCCATACCGCTAGCAAGGATCCTGAGATCGAATGTGAGATCGATAGCGGAATCGATCCTCCGTGGCGTGTTTGTCGGGTCTCCAGGGGGGCCATGTTTTTCTGTGCGAGCTAGATCCGAGCCTCCATCGCGGCCTCGAGCAAGGAGCACGAGGGCCACTGTCATGGCGAGGTATCTGCACAGCGAGCCATATCACACTGAAAACAACAGTTAAAAGGCGAAAGGCAGGGAGGGGGAAGGGAGAGACTTGAGCAACAGAGGCATTGGAACGGATGCTAAACATCGAACGATGGCGGAGACCCTCTCGCATTACTCAGGATGCCCGTTCCAAGAACTACTATCCTTCGTGGTCTGTTGGGTCTCCAGGGGGGCCATGTTTTTCTGCGCCAGCTACATCCGAGCCTCCATCGCGGCCTCGAGCACAGAGGTATCTGCACAGCGAGCCACATCATCCATTACACGCGTAGTATGTACTGGCACAGCCGCCACCACAAAGTGCACTCCACATCCGCTCGAGACTTGCATCTTGCACTGAATTGAACAACTCGGCGGCGGCAGCTCTGACAAAGGACGAGGGGTAAGCTGCTGCCGCCGCCGTCATCTTGGAACCTTCCAAGACAATGTGAGGTCGCCCGGTCCGTGAGCATAGCCCATTGCGGCCGCTGCAAACGCGGCGCAGGCCGCAGAGACTTCCCACGTGCCAGCTCTGCAGGCGAGTCCTCTTCCAAAAGGTGGCCCCGTACTGGCAGCGGTCCAAGATCACCTGATTGCCGGCGGGGGCCTCACCAAATTTGCGAAGGCGGGGCAGCGTCCACAACGGGGGGCCGGCTGGGTTCTCCAAGATGACGCCGACCTGACTTGCTCTGCATGCTGAGATGATGGCCAAGGAGAACCGCGCTGTCGCACTACCGATCTGGATGCGGGCGCGGTCGGCTGGGCGAGCCAGCGCGTCGGGGTGTCCCCAGATGCCGCCGGCCGTGCGCAGCGGCGCACCTGGGCGGGCTGGCTGGCCGCGCCGCGCAGCGCTCCACGACGAGCAGGGCGCTCCGAGCCACGCGCCGTCTACTAAGCCTTGGCGGATCCAGGTGACAAGCAGCTCCCGCACGCCGGACAAGGTCGCGCCCTGCAAGGGGCAGTCTGCGATCTCCAGCGTCGCGACGGCGGCGCCCAGGTTGCGGAGCCTGGAGGCGATCCGCTTGGCGCCAGCGAAGAGCTCCAGGTAGACGCCGCCGCCGCGCGCCTCGCGGCGTGCTCGCAGCACCTCCGCCTTCATGCGCACGTTCAGCGGCAGCGCGGCGGCTGCAGGACAAACGGCGCGGCCAGCGGCGGCAGCGCCGGGGGGCAGAGGCCCTGCATGAAGCTCGCAAGGCCCTCCTCCGCCGTCCGCGCGAACGAGATGGTGGCAGGAGAGAGCTTGGTCGCCTCCCGCAAGGCCAGCGCCGCCTTCTCGTAGCGCCTGACCGATCCGTCCGTCCTCCAGCGTCCTCGTTTCTTGATCTCGGAGAGCGCCCTTCTCTGTGAGATCGCATCGAAGGACGCTCCCCCATGGCGCAGGGAGTAGAGCTGCGGGTGCAACACGTGGGCGCCGCTGACCAGAGCTGCGTTGTGCATCGCTGAGGTGAGGCGCGCCGCGTCGAACGACCAGTGGGGGCCCGCGGCGCGCCGAGCCTTCAGCAGCTGCAGGATGTCTCCGAGCCAGTCGAACCTGGCCCAGTCCAGCATCGCGCTCTCGTCGTACTCGCCTGTCTTGTTGGCGCGGCCGAGCTCGCGCGCGCCGAGGATGAGGCCCCAGGGCGGCGAGCCCCCCGTCCCTTTGACTGGCGGCGCCAGCGACTCGGGCGACAGCGCGAACAGCTCGCCTGGGCGGAGGTAGGCCATGAAGGCTATCAGCGCCGCGACGGCCTCCTCGTGGTGTCCTAGCCACAGCAGCCCGCCGATCAGCGCCATTAGCCCGCGGCATGGCAGCGGCGCGCCACTGTGGACGGGCATGAGCTTGCGTCATCCGGTGATCGCGCGCCAGGCCCTGGGCAACTGCCGCTGGGCCTTCAGCTCGGGCCGCAGGTGCTGCAGGGCGGCCAAGAACTTGGACCCGTCGTTGGCGGGGTGCCCGCTCTGATAGAGGACGTCGGACCACTGGGCGATGACGTCGTCCAGGGGACGGGTATCCGAGTCCTGGAGGCCTTCCTGAGTCACGCGCTGCTTGAACCAGCCCAGGCGGCGGAGGTAGTCCAGCATGGCGGCCGCCTTTACCGACGACAGCTCCAGGACACTCTGCAGAGCTCGGGCGATGGGCTCTGCCGCGGCGTAGTGCTCGGACGCCATCCTCGCGCGCTTGCAGGCTCGCGTCGCCGAGGCAGGGCAGACCCGGAGGCTGGAGAGGCTCTTCGAGCTCTTCGATGCCCTCGAAGCCCCTGCTGCTCTCTGCGCCGAGGGATGCCAGGCTCTTGGGGTCAGCGGCGGAGCTGCAGTCACCGCCAGAGTCCTCGTCGTCGCCGAGGTCGAGGCTGTGCAGCGCGGCGAGCTCGATCGGCGTCGGCGAGCCCGTCGAAGTCAACGCGACTCGGCGCCGGTCGCCCTCGCGACGGAGCATCAGCAAGGTTCAGTTCGCTCGGCACCCAGCGGACATGGAAGCGACCGCTGGAGAAGAGACTGAGCGCGGCGAGCTCCCTGCAGGTGGGCAGGAGATGGCGAGACCTCGCCCGCCCCTTGGCGGCGGCCAGGGCTAGGGCCAAATTGTCCACGGAGAAGACGGCGTGCGTTCGGCGGTGAGCTCGGGCCGTAGTAGGTGCCGAACCTCCATGACGAGCCCGACCCTCCATCCTCATGATCTCGCCCTCCTCCCGCCACCTCCCGTACGTGCAGACCTTCCAGCCCGAAGCAGCCGCCGCCGAAACCGGAACCTCATCGAGCAGCCTGTCCCCCCAGGGTTGGGCGCCCGCAGCAAGCCGAACAGCGGGGCGAGACCGAAGATCGTCGAGGTCGAGTCCGCGGATGTCAGGGCGAAG